TGAAGAAATACATTTGTATTCCTATTAAATTTTATTATGTTCAGTAAAAAGATTGATTTCACAACCTTCTAATGTTTTGAGATAAAAAGATAAATAAATAAAAATTTTAAATTTAAAAAATCACGTGAAATTCGATAAGTCGGTCACAGGGGTCCGCTCCGACATGACCGACTTATCGAGTTTACATATTAATATGTACATACATGTACTAAAAAGAATAAAACTACAACAAATAATTTTTTTGACTATACTATCAACTAATAACGCTATTTTTTTAAAAGGTAGGACAGAAAGTGACTTCTATACTTTAAAATTTATGCAAAATTTAGGAAGTCTTTAGACCGAGCCAACTATACTAGAGAATTAATTATATACAGGCCGATAAAATTATTCTCAAAAAAAAATAAATATAATTTATTGTTTATTATATTATTAAATTATTTTTAATTATTAATAATGGTAATGTGTGTCTATATAAAAAATTTGTGTCTAGTTACTAGAATCAGATTCAGAATCTCTTAATAAAGGAACTTTTTCTTGATTTGAATCTGGTGATTTATTATTTTTCAAAAATCTGGATCTTCTTTTCCTTGGTGACGATAATATTTCTTTCTTTTCATCAGATGCTATAATGTGAACATAAGGTAAAATATTAAGGACCCATTTTACGCAAACATCTTGTTCTAAAGTCTTTGACCTATCATAGGCCACCAACACACACATTACGTAACTTCCGTAAGAAGCTGTTAAGTGCCACCAGGCGTGTAATTGGGGATTTGGTAAACTAAACGGTAATTGGTTCATCAAACTACAAAAATGCATGTCCACATTCCATCCAACGTAACCAATTAAAAATACTAAACTGCCCGTTATCCATAATGTTTTGATGTGTTTTGTAGAATAAAGTTTAGGACGAACCATTAAAAGACTAATGTAGATGTAAAAAAACCCCGCCATTATTGCAAATGACACTATAAAGGGATTATAACGAGTGAGAAAAGATTAAAATTTTTAAAAAAAAAAAAATTTTTTTGGCGATGATTACCTTGAAACACAAAAACTTCAATTAATTGCATTTTTTTATCATGATGATATCTCCCAGAAAATATCATGATGGAAGTGATTAATAAACACCAGGTTGCCAAGGCGATCGGAAACCATCTACCAAATCTTCTTGTTTTCTTATTCTCAATGATCGAGTAACATAATGTCGTTACACAAAACATCATCGGCACTTCGTCAAATAGTTGTAATGAGAATAATAAAGTACCATGAAACAATATTGATCCTATACCCACTACTATAATTCTATTGTTGTTGTAATATTAAATAAGTTAACATTTTCGAAAAAAAGAAAATTGAAAATTTACAAAAGAAACTTACGTAGCAAAACATATTAAAAATCTTGTTTCAAATCCTTTCGAGTGCATATACATACCAAATATTCCTACACATACCATACAAAATGATGATAATGTGTTGAAAAATTCGGCAATATAATGCGTTAAAGAATAATTATCTTCACACCAATCTTTTTATATTAACAATTATATTTGGATCAAAATAATAATAATATAATCTTAGTATTTTTTGCAAAATAGAATTTATAGATATAAAAATTACATACCAACTATGTTGTTCAGTATTGAAATATTAAAAAAATGTTAATTATTAGATCTTTTTAAAAAAGAAATTTTATAAAAAAATGATTTTAAATACTTGTGGCAGTTTTTTCTCCCCAATATCCTTGTATATCGTTGTGTTCTAACATGGTTAATATAACACGTGGTGGCAGCTAATATTGGTGTATATAACGAATGAATTGCTAGGCGTTAAGTGAATGTGAATCAATTAACAATGTTAATTGATTTTTTAAAAAAATTATTTCAAAAAAAAATATCGTCAAAAGAGAAAAAAAACGCGGATATTTATATAAAATAACAATACCCATAATCACACTAAATGAAATCACTGAGTTTTTTAACCGTGTGTATATACGTGATAAAACGTACCGTGAGAATTAATTTTCAATTGTCACATCATTTATCAGGCGGTAACACAATGAATAATATAAAAACACCTTACTAAATTAGGACGAGCAGTTTAACTCGTTGCTTATAATAAATAATTCTTCTATATTAATATTAAGTGATAAAAATATCATGTGATAACACGTCAAATTTAAATTTTTACTGCAGATTTTTTAAATATACAATATATATATGGTGAAGACATATTATATATATATAATGGTCAATGATCCATTGATTACATGTGACGTGTGCAAAAAAATAATTTTTTAAAATTGGATAATTTTTCCCTCATATATTTACTATGGAATCTAATTAGATACTTTTTGTTATAATCTTTTCTATGTGTATCTTTTGGTTTTACCCCACTTTTCAATGAAATTTAATGTAAAAAAATGCATAAATGACCTGATTCTAAATAGCATTTAACTCCACAAATGAAGAATTTTCTAGCAACTCGTAAAAATGGGGTTTTGATTGATTGATTGTCAATGATTCAAGTCTTGAATTTTAGCTGTTTTTTAGTTTTAAAATCAGGCTGCAAGGACAGAACTCTTCTCGCACAACAGTCAATCCTGCATACCTATTTTCTAAAGATTCCTTTTGGTAGATCGATATGGATTATCAGATCAATAAACAGTATCTCTCGTTTTTACTGCTCGCCCACCACCTGGTTTTAAATCCATTTTACCCGCTACAAGTGCATTCGTTGAATTATCAAATGCGAAAAGAGTAATGCAATTTGAGAAAAGAGGTTCAAAAATCGGAATAGCTTTAAGTTCCCCTCATAAATTTTTAAATAAACTCTAGCTTCTTCCGGAACATGGAGTTATTTAGGATGTGTGTGATATTATTTATTTAAACATAATCTTCCAGTCTTTTTCACGCACAACACTTGTATTAATGACGACTCGCCACTTTTGGCTAACTTTTTCTCTTCCCATCATTTGTGTCACCAATTAACTTCTTTTTCACCAAGTTTAAGGTCAAGTTCATCATTAACACCCAACTTCATTTTAAAAACTTTTGTCAAAGAATCATTCAATTCAATCCTTTTCACATCAAAGAGTTACTTTTTTTATTTTCATTGGTGGAAATTTCGTGGTGACAAAAATATGTTGGCGGTCACTTGCTTTTTATAGAAAATTTATAGTCAAAAGGTTTGATATGATCGATTTTTATACACATTAATGATATTTCCTATATTATATTAATATGTTTGTTTACAATATAGAATTGTTCTCTAGGTGTTAAATTAAGCTACAATTAAAATATTATTTTCTACGAGTTATAAACTTTAAAGTCAGGTGATTATTGATATGTCTTGAGGATTTTATTTTCATATTAATATTAATAATTTTTTTACTTTACTTTTCGTATGTTTTGTAGCTTCATGCGATACTACTATTTATTTTTGTTATTTTTCGTCTTTTTCACCCTAAGAGGAGAATTATTTGTTCCGGAATATTTGGCAAATTAAAATGTAATTTAATAAAGTTTCACAAATTAAATGTTTTATGGAAGAAGACAAATTTATTAGTCAAATCAAATTAAATATCAATTATTATTGCCCATCCGAAAAATAGTGTTAGTGGTAATAGTAATAGTTATTTACGGTTTATTATTATAATAAATACTTAAATAGTGAAATATAAAATTAAAAAACCATTTTTGTATTAATCTTCAGTAAACAAAAAACTGCTATTTATATTATTAATAAAGATATCAACTGTTGCTTAAATGGCTGGTAATTATATTGATTAAAATAAAGTATGAAAAAAAAAAGAGTTCATAACAAATAACAGCAATTAAAGAAGCAAAAAGTTTTATCCAAAGTTTGGAAATCATCAATAGGAAGTGAACATTATTATTATAATAGTATTAGTACAGTAAATAATAGTAATGCCGAATTTGCCGTACTCTTTGTCATGTGATAAATTTTTTAAAATGCTTGCATATTAGGTTTGCTGTTCGAAAACAATTTTGGAATTTTCGAACAGCAAGTCTACTGCGTATAATATAACCATATTAATGTATATTAATATAGTGAGCGCCTGGACAAAAAAGAACATGGAAAACAGGTTTCTATAGTTCCTGAAGAATTACTAGCAATACGTGCGGATATATTGATAATAAATTGGGAGGTATTTTTTATTCAGACTTTGCTGGATGGAACCTTACAATTTTCATGAACATATTAACATATGGAATCCATCCAGATACCTATCATTATTAAATTTTTTTGCTCCTTGGTAATATCCGGATTAGTAAATGTGCCTGAATCTTGTTTTATTTAAATGATTCTTCGAGATTATAATACATTTCAATTAACGTTCTATTATTAAATTATTATTATTAACAAATTATTATTAATTATTATTATTATTATTATTATTATTATTATTATTATTATTATTATTATTATTATTATTATTATTAAGTTTATTAATCATTAAAAACCCAATTAAATTTTTTATAAAATCCTTTCTATACATAATTGTCTTTTTGATACCATTCGTAATGGTTATGATTATTATTGTTATAATTATAATAATTAGTATTAGAAGAAGAATAATCACTACCATTAATGATTCTTAGTGTATCCGTCACTATATAATAATGAAAAATTAAAAAAATAATCAAACATAAAAACAAAATTGTCTCTTGCGTAAAAAATCTTCGTATTATTACTGTCGTGTTTGTTGAATTTGACGACAACGAAGATAGTGAATTTTTAATAAGATGCTTATTCGAACAAATTACTGAAAATGAAATTGGTTTGAAATTCAAGTTAAAGATTGGAATTGTATGCCTTGATCTTATTATACCTTTTTTAACAGAGGGGAAAATTTTTATTTTCGATTAATTAATTAATAATACTTTAAAGAGAGAAAAATTTTAACAAGTTCATTCCATTAATGATTTTTTTACCTTGTTCATTGTTACTATTGTAAAATTTTAATGATTTAGTCATGGCTTTTGTTGTATTTACTTCATCGTTACTGTTAATATTTACATTATTTTTATTGTTGACATCAACATCATCAACATCAACACCATCATAATCACAATCATCCATTTTACTTATTGTTTTAATAGGATCGGATGAATGATATTTTAAAAAATCTTTTCTTGCCAATGCAGCTGAAATATCGTAAATGTCACGTGACAATTAAACATGCTTGTAAGTAATAATAATAATAATAATAATAAATCATAATAAATAATAATAATAATAATAATAAATTAACGAGTAATGAAATACCTTTTAATCTTTTTATTAAGTTTTCATCAGCAGTAATTATATCTTGTTTCTGATTCCAACTTATCTATTTAAAGTTATTATGAAAAAAAAATTTTTTTTTAAATTAATAATCAAATATTTTCTTAGTTGAAAAAGAAAATTTATTTTACTTCTTTAATTCATTCCCGTCCCACATCGTACTTACAACAAAACATTCGTTGATAAGTTTTACTAATGAACCACCGTAGAGAACAGTTAATGAAGTAGCAAGAAAAACTGTACTTAGGTCTGGCATAATAAATATTGTAAATACCGAAATTATGGAACTATTATTATTAGTTTGTTGTTACTATAGATTAATAATATATGAAATATATAAAAATAAACAAAATCATCCAAAAGATTAAAAGTAAATTAAACATTTAAAAGTTTAAAAGAATTGAGAAGAATTTTAGCAGAAAATTTTCCAAATATTTTTGAAGTGAAAAATTGGGGCATTGGGGTAAGTGACATAAATAATAATAGTGATCATCACACGTGGAAATTTTAAAACAGATGACTTGGTCATTTGTTCTTCTCATTTACCATATTAATATATTAAATTTATTATCCTAGCAAATAAAAGGGCGAGATTAAATCCCTATTAATATTAATTGCCAAAATTCTGGCCTAAAATGAATAAATAAATTTTCTGTTATTATAACTTTTGACAATAATATATACAATATTTATTGTTAAATATCAAGAAATCTTTATTATATATTACTTTCCCACCCCGACTCATACATTTAAGAAGAACTTTTGAATAGTAATAGTATGATTTTTTTTAACAATGTTATTATTTCCCACCTATTTTTATTTTTTTTGCTCGTCGATGCATTAACGTCATGTGAACCTTCTTAGATGCCGGGGCCCCGGAAATTACATATAAGTTACTCTTTTTTGGGGATAAATCAATTTGAAATCTGATTAGTTGTTAGAAAGTGTCGAAGAAAATTAGTGTAGCAAACATTAATGAACATGGAGCATGCATGACATAAAAAAAAGACAATTTTTGAATAGAATGAGTGCAAGGATGTTTTTTACCTTGAAGAGGAAATAGTATTCAAGTTGGTCAACGTTACAAACATTATTCCCTCAAATAAGGGTATTCATCCTGTGACAACTTTTTGGGTAATAAGAAATGAGGAACAAAAATTGCGAAAAATACCTCCAAGTTCTTTTCGGTCTTCTTGATTTTCTGGTCTAATTATACACTCCCAAGTCTTATATTAGTCCAGAAAAAACGACAATATTAGGTTGTAATAATAATATTATTAAAATTTCTAACCCCAGAAATCCTAATGATCATTTTTGTCTGGTTTTGTTGCAGTATACCCCATATGCAAGTGAATCAATTTTTATTTTTATCCGAAACATGAAAAAAAATCAAAATTCATTCTTAAAATTATTTCCAAAAAAAAAAGATGTCTAGAAGAGAAAGAGCTGGACTTAGTTCTTCAAGGTCCTCTGCTTCTGGAGGACCGTCTGTAAAAACTAAATCTTCAAGAACTAGCCAGAGTTCCTCAAGACATTCTTCTAAAATAAGACATGAACGAGCGAGGTCAAAAGATTATTCATTATATAATATATTTTTGTTAAATAAATTTACCTTATTATTATGTTATAAAAATTGATTGTGTATGTACATATATAGATCACGCTTTTCAATTTATGATAGTTATTACACTGCAATAATTTATTTCGGTTTGGTGATAGCAAGAGTTAATGCTGCTTTATATTCCAACATATCTGATAGTAATGAAGTGAGAACTTTTTTTTAAAAAAAAAATCACAAATTATTACAAAAAAAAAAATAATAAATTAATTTCTGTTATCTCGTAGGTTTATAATTATTGGGAACCAACTCATTATCTGCAATATGGTTATGGAATGCAAACATGGGAATATTCACCAAAATATGCCATTAGAAGTTGGTCTTATATAAAATTTCACTTATCTATTGCAAAATTCTTTGGATATTTATTTAATAATGATAAGGTATGTAGAAAATGATCAGCTATTACGATTATGATTAGATATATGTATCTGATTTATTGTTTTAAATTTTTTTAAATAATAGATCAAAATTTTTTATGCAATGAGACTATTATTTGCCTCCATATGTTTAATTTCTGAATTTTTATTTTATCGTATTGCTAAAAATCATCTTGGTACTCGCGTTGGACGTAATATCTTACTGATCTCTTTGCTAAGTGTAGGAATGTGGAATGCATCGACAGGTAATAAAATAAAAAAAATTTGGAATAACATTAAAAGCAATAAAGATAATAATTCAACTAATCATGTATAATCTTTTTGAATTATATATGTGACAGCTTATCTTCCATCTACTTTTGCAATGTACACAACTATGTTAGCATATTCTTATGCTCTTAAACCCATTTCATCATCTTCTGGCCGTAGAATTTACCATTCTATTTTTTGGACCGGTTTTGGATCACTCTTAGCTTGGCCTTTTAGTGCTGCTATCGGAATAATTCCAGCAATAGAGGAAATTTTGATTCGTACCAATTCATTTAAAGATAGATTAGATCGTTTAACCCGTATAATTGTTAGCGTCATTGTTACTTTGACTTGTTTAGCAGTAAGTTGATACAAAAAGAATCATCTATATCTACAGTATATATTTTTGGAGTATTTATTTTTAAAAATATTTAAATTTTTCTCAAAAAAAAAATACATATATATATATATTATAGATACCCATTATTTTATGTGATTGCTTGTATTATAAGAAGCTTACCATAGTTCCATGGAATACTATTTATTACAATACTTTTGATGATAAAGATCGTGGACCCAGCCTATATGGAACAGAGCCCTGGCATTATTATTTCGTTAATGGATTTTCGAATTTTAATTTAATTTTCTTGGTGGCTATTATAAGTTTGCCCGGGTTGGTGAGTTGTGTAAAAAATTTTTTTAGCAATATACATATACTAGTATTAAAAAGGATGTTTAAATTTTATTTAATTGATTATTATTATTATTTCTTTTTTAAAGATCATAACTATCCTTGTTGATCCTAATCGTGTTTGTTCAACATCACCAACATCTAGTCCAATTCATGCTTATCTTTTCTTGTTTTTTAGACTTGCTCCTCTTTATTTATGGCTTTTTTTGTTGTCACTAAGACCTCATAAAGAAGAACGGTTTTTATACGTGATCTATCCATTAATATGTCTTAATGGTTCTGTGTCGATTTTTTTGGTTAGAGGATGGATTGATCGTTTGATAATATACATGTCCAATGATGTAACAGTAAGTAGTGGTTAGTTTTATTTATCTATATTAAAGTATAATTATTACACATATATAATTTTATTATATATATTTAAAAAAAGCGTACTCGGAATAAAATTTTAAATGTCCTGACAACATGTTTTCTTGTTGCATACGGTGTCATGTCAATATCAAGAATTTATACCTTATACTCAAGTTATAGAGCACCTATGGAAATTTATAAGCATTTGTATTATAATGAAATTCCTAATAATGAGAATTACAATCATCATCATCAAGAAATCAATCTTTGCTTAGGAAAAGAATGGCATAGATTTCCAAGTCATTATTTCTTACCGGATAATGTTAGATTAAGATTTTTGAAATCAGATTTTGATGGACAATTACCAAAATATTTTTTGGAAAGTTATCATGTTGACGATAATGGTACTACCAGATACGATAAATCTCGTGATGGTACATGGAAGATTCAAGAAGGCTTTAATGATAGGAATCTTGAAGAAACAGATCGTTATGTTAGTTTATTATATTATTATTATGAAAACATTAATACTGATACTAATAAAACATGTGCATTATTTTTAGGTTCCTATACAAACATGTGATTATATAATTGATCGAATTGGTGAAAATGAATCAAATTATGCCGAGAAAACTGATGAATGGAATAAAGTGATATGCAAACCTTTTTTCGATTTTAAAAATCCAAATAAAGTCGCTAGATCATCCTATATTCCTTCATTTTTATCGAAAAAACTAGAAGCAATTCTAAACCGTGTTGTCCCTGGTAGGGCAACTGGACAAGACGCAATTAATGATTTTGGTAATTTGAAATGGGATGAATATTGTTTATTAAAGAAGATACCTGGAGGTGGTTAGTAGTACAAACAATATTTTTTATTTTTTTATTAGTTTACTTTTTTTTTATTAACTTTTTTAAAAATTCAAAAAAAAAAACTTTATTTATGATAGCTACATCGAATACCCTTAATAATCAAAATGAACACGTAATAGGATTTTTCAGAGGATGGTATAATTATCTTTTTACCTGAATGTAAATACATATTTTCTCTTTGCTATTTGTAAATAATTTTAGACTTTTTTTTATTACTTTTTTTTTGATAATACATATGTAATTTTTATTTCTTAATAAATTGGAATAAAAAAATTTTTTTTCTATAATAATATATTATTAATTCGTAAAATATAATATATAATACAATTTGATTGCAATAATTTTTTTTTTTTTTAATAACAGTTACATGTAGAAGAATTTTTTAGCTTAAAAACGTACCCACGTTTACTTGATAAAATCACGAGGTATTAATATTTAAACCTCACATGACATTAAATCAGACGACTCTCCATGTTAATATCATCATCACCACACAGTCATTAATTATAACAACCCCCGAAAATCATTTGCAAACATAATAAAATCAATTACACATTATATATATAATGTTCGTTTTGTGCCCATATGACATTTTTTATTCACGAAATTGATTATATAAATGGTTGCTTCTTTATAAATGATCATTAGCTAATTTTTTTTCATAGTTGAGAATTATATCCCAAATTTAGTAATTATTTTATGGATATAATGCCGAATTTCTTTTTCCTAAAAACAGTTTAGGAATCCATCTACATCACCCGCCATCATATAGATGAGTTTTTTTAATTCTGAAAAATGTTTTGAGCTATCTGAACACGTATCTATAACGTAATAGAACCATATTTGTTGATGTACTTTCATATCGCAAACGTAATTTTGTCATAAATTCTAGATGCTTACTAATACGAATGTAAAAAAACAAAAAAATAGCTACGTTGTAGACAAGGTTCATAGGAATTAAAAACACCTTTGATTTTTTTTATAGTTATCTTGCTTCCAAAGTTATGATCGTTTTAAAATTTCAATTGTTAAAGTAATTAAAGAAATCGTCTTTGCATAAAGTGCTATATAAATCATCATACAGTTGAGATTTTTTGATTCTGGGCTTGTAGAACATGCATGGTCTCTACAACGTAACAGTGCCATATTTTAAGAATATTTATTAACGTTGATGTACTTTTGTAGTTTTGTTATAAATTCTAGATGTCTACTAATACAGAGTATCATATACAAATACACCCCAATGCGAAGTGTATAAAGGGAAATTTAAAAATAACGACAGTTACGATCATTATCATCATTTTAATATTATAATTAATTTTACATTGAATAGAAATAAATGATGAATCATCAAAAAAAGTTAGCATATAATTTATTTCTTCAACTTCATTTTTTGATGTTTCTTTTGTCACAGATGCGTCGATTTTATTAATATTCATTATCGTTAGTTGAACAAAAATGATGTTGATAGTCTAGATGAAAACACTTATGTAATTTAGCTCAAGAAGTATTATACCACACAATTTCGTAATTATAGTACACCATCACTTCTACTTAATCGTATTGCCATCACAGAACAAAAGAAATTAATAATACGATGTGGAATCTGGTGTTTTCTTAGTTGGAGCCATCAAGAAAGGCAAAAGCAGAAACTGCTCGACGAATGAATTTTTTTTGGAAATATCTGGGCATCTCGGAAAACACAATTTCCTAATGTAGTCAAATTAGCCAGAAAATATCGATTCCTGCCTCTTCAGTACCTAGCGAATGATTATTTTCTGATGCAGGTAATTTGATTACTGCTGAAAGAACTCGATCAGATCCAAAATTGGTAGGAAAAATGATGTTCATAAAAAGAAATTATAATTCAATTATGTCAAAACTACCGTGTATTTGGTATTGTGATCTGCTATGGGATATAAACTTTTATAATTACAAGTAATTTTTATTCAAAATTCCTTATTTTACATTTGAAAAAAAAGTTTTAATAGAAATGAATATACAGTAAATAGAAATTAATGAAGTTATTAATAGAAATTCTTGGAGCTTGAGAAAAATATTTAAAATAATTATTTATTATTATGCAATGGAAAATAATAAAAAAAACTTTTGACTAATAAAATCGTTGGTCCCTCAAAATTAAAGCAGGAATAGTGAAACTCTGGTTAGTTTTTATCTTAAGTTCGCCAATTTCCTTCTCCCTTCTTTAATTAATCATTAAATCGTTAGTTGGTTTATTTTGAAGAAGTGTTAAACAGGAATCTTCTTGTGAGCCTGCATTGTGTGACTTTAAGGACCCTGTAATTCTTTGTGTCATAAATGTCCATTTTGTTGGTTTATGTATGCCCCAATTAAAAGTAGGTCTTTTTAGAAACCAAACCAAACTATTCGCTAAAAAGATGTTATGCACAAACATGTTCAAATTATTATTATTTATTATTACATAGAATACAAAAAAAATTTAGTTTGACTTTAACAATCACAACAATGAAAGGATTGAAGTTACACAAACGCCGCTTTGAACTTTAATTTGTTATTATATCATTTATTATTATAGAGCTTGGACCCGTCCAAAAAAACCTACTACGTCAGATGAACCGAGTTGTTATGCGCAGAACTAGTTACACAGGAAAATTTTAATTTATTTTTCATTGCTCCCAAAATTTTACAACATAAAACATTCCTCTTTACAAATAAAAATCGATTCATAACTTCAGTCGTAAGCGCGTTCTTTTTGGTGTAATTGAATTTCCAGCATCTGAAAATAAACGTTCACTTGGAACGGAATAGATAAGTATTTGTGAGCAATTCTACTTAAATCGGAAATAAATGCTGTTTGTTATGCTACCATTAATATACATCAATAGTTCCTGGTGAAATTGGTGTAAAAATTTCATTTAAATAATTATCTATCTCATCATCATCAACTACAAAAATAAAATAATAGATCTTGCTATAGTTAACATGACATACTAATATAAACATCCAACCAAGGTTGTAATTGTTATTACCCGAGTCCAATCTCTATAATCTGTGTGTTATAACTTTTTAAATGCTTAGTAAGAAAACTTGTTGATAGGAGAGAAAGATGGTGAGTCTCCTTTAACTAGAGATCAGAACAGGAACTTAAAGAGAAAACCTCCCGGCCCCCTGCTCATTTGAATCATCGGGTGTTGGTAATGAATTTCTAGAATAAGTGACTATAAATTATATATATATTTTTTTTTACGAGACTACGTTTGTGATTGTTTAGAATTATTTTTATATCATCTTCATCGTCATTGTTGCTATATTTATTAATCATAGCACATAAATATTATTTGTCTCAACAAGTTATACGTATTATTATTAATACTCCCTGTAATGTTTTAACTTTTGAACTTGGTAAATTAATATTTCGTTTTTTATTCAAGGATAATGATCGACATCCCGCATAGTTTACATCAGTTTGTGTATACTACTACTACTAATAACGTGGAGCTTAATAACAACATTAACAATAATAAATATAATATTAAAATAATGGGTAAGAAATTTTCTCCTTGAAGACCCTTCCTTGAAAAGCTTTTTTTGCGCTCCTTCCTTGGAAGACCATTCTTTCTTTGCCCCCTTTATGAAGAAGGACATTCTTTTTTGCGAGAAAAACATTGCTTTCTTTAATTATTAATGCCACCACCACCACTTCTTCGACTTTTAAACTGTAATAGTAAGTCAAAATTCTAATTATTTTTTAATACTTTTACATTTAAAAAGCATAGAATGTTGCCAATCAGGTAACGAATCATAGTGTCTTTTTTCTGGACTCTATGATAGCAATATGTCAGCCAACAATTATTCTGATGGGCAGAAGCTAAAATAACGGATCCCGGGATAACTCATATTGGAAGAACCTGGCATATAATAACAGTTAATATAATAACGAATTATGCTTTATGTTACGAATTAATTAATTAATTATTGGTACATATGTAAACTCGATAAGTCGGCCAAAATTTTCACCCCATTTTCTTAATATTTAAGTAATTTAATTCGATAAGTCGGTCATATGAGCTCACCCCCACATGAACGACTTATCGAGTTTACGTATGTAATTTGAATGCTTAAAATTAAAGAATCTTAATTACTAATTGATAAATTCTTATTCATTTTTTTTAACTAGGGTTTGTAATTATTATAAATTTTATTAAAATTTTGAATATATGATTTTTATTTTGTCTAACATCACCTTATCCCTTTATGTTTATAAAGAACATATACAGAAAAGGATTGTGCGTCATCATGCTACAGAAGAGCTCATTTAACAGCAGAGTTCAAGAAAATAGGAACAAGCGACGTTAGTACTACTAAAAATAACATGAAAGTTGGGAAGGTGTTTACAAAAATAAATTATCAAAGGTTTTGATGAAAATTAACGAACAATTCAAAGAAGGTGCAATTCAAATTGTTACAGTAAAGTAAAAAAGAAAACAAAAAGGAGAAAACTGAAAATGAATAATTTTTATTTATATATTTTATTGAATAAAGAAGCTAGACCAGATGTTTGAGATACGATTTGCCGACACTTCAATATATTCGTTTTTGTTTTTATTAATTTTTATTATAAGCAAGTTCACTTTTGACCAAGTAAAAAAACAACCAGTTGATTAATTAGCCAATTGTATTTATTTATTTAATATTTCAATGCTTCGCACATAAGAGTAGAGCGAAATTAATATTAAAATTAATATTAAATTATTTCTTAGTAATTGGTAACATTGATTATTCACAGGACCGGGAAAACTCTATTGTATGTCACCGCCAAATCGAATGGTCAAACATATAGACTCGAATTGTGATTTTTTTATAATTGTGCCGATAATAATAACATTCAGCAATTTATTAATAATGCGAATCAATCAATATAGCCTGTAACATGCAAATTTTTTAAGCAGATAAACAGATGATTAAATTCTTGAAAGCGAATTTTGTAAATTAGAATTCAAATTGGAATATGAGCATGCTTCCCAGAAAATAAACTACATCTTGTAGTATAATATAAATTGTAATGTCACTCATATCCTGGCATGATGCAAACAAATTGACGTGCACTTTTATTTATTTTTTATCCCTTTTTTTTTTTTACACAACCTCCATAATAAATAATCAAAATAATACCTTCAAACTTTCTCTTTCATAATCTGCTAATTTGAAAAAAGTATACTTTTATTCAAAATTGATAAATTTTTGTACAAAGAGTTTGTTTTTTGCCTAAATATTTGTTAACCCTTTTTTTTATCTTTATAATGAATAAAATGTCGAGATCATTAACTAGCACATTACTTTGCTTATTTTCCGAACCTGTTGAAAGAGTCACCAGTTGAAATTATGTGAATCAATCTTGGAGACAAGCATCGGGAAAGGCAGTAATGGAACATGTACAACTTTTTACTAAGTAGATTAATTGTCCACAAAGGCTTACATTCTTTTTGAATGATAATATTTCTTATTGAAATAAAACTATTTAAATTGTATTAATTGTGATGTATTTACAATAAAACAGTTTAAAGAATTAGATAAGAAATATTTAGAGAGTAAATTAGTGCAATGTAAACAAGAAATGAAGAAAGGTGGAAGTACACAGCGAGTCTCGATTTAACGGACATGTTTGTTCCAGGAAATTTATCCGCAAAAACCAACAGGCATTTTAGTAATGACTTACAATCAAGGAATAAAAATTGTTACTTTGAATGAATCAGGGTATATCAGGGAATGTTTAAGTAAAAAGAGTATACTTGTAAAATTTGAAAGGTTGTTATTTGGTGTACTTGCGCCTGCCTCATAAGTGTAACAACAAATTAAGCATTCCTTTTATATTATTTATATTATGTCGATCATTTTTCAATATTAAGACAATCTGCACTGTAACTAATAATAATAATAATAATAATAATCTATTTTCCGCTTTATTCTTTTTTACTTATTATTATTGAAAAAATGAATTATTTAAAATATATAATAAAATTTATATTACTATTATGTTTATCAATATTATTAGGGTTTTACTATGAAAGTTTAGTTTATCCCTACAATGTTTCACATTTTAAAATAGATCCTCAATATTCTCAATATAATCATCTGCATAATCAACGTAGTAATCAAACGATAACTTTTAAAACCATTGCAATAATTGGTAAGTAGATCAATTCTCCCTCTTAATAATAATAATAATAATATTTAAAATTATTTAGGTGCAGGAGCTGGTGGCTCATCAGCTTCTTATTGGCTGAAAGAAACATTTAATAACTCTAATAGTAGTAGTTTAAAATTTAATACAACAATTTATGAAAAATCATCAATAATTGGTGGACGTGCTAAAGTTGTTGAATTTGAATCAGTTAATGGGGAAAAATTTAATATTGAATTGGGTGGATCACTATTTATTGATAGTAATTATCATATAATTAATGCATCAAAACAATTTGGATTAGAATTTATTTATTATGGTGAAGAAACACCTAATGCAAGAAATGGAATGTAAGTATTTGTTGTATTGACATAATGTGATTACCAAATCATTCATTATTGGTTAATTATTGTGGTTATTATGGTTATAGGTGGAATGGAGAAAAATTTGTATTTGAGCAATCTACTAGTTATTATTGGGATTTAATGATAATGACATGGAGATATGGGCTTGCTCCAATTAAAGTAATGTTTAAAAGTAAATTTTTAAAACAAAAATCTTAATAATATTGATATTATTTAATGTTACTTAATAGGTTAATAATTTGATTCAAGCAACAATAAACAAATTTTTAAATATTTATTATCTCGTGAACCCATTTACTAGCATTGATTCAGCTATTGAGAAGTTGGATCTTTCTGATTTAGTAAAATTCACTGGTGAATATTATTTCTCTGAAATTCAAAAAATAAATCAAAATTACCTTAATGATATTATAGAACCAGTTGTACGTGTTAACTATGCTCAAAATTTAAATGAAATTCATGCAATGGGAGTTTATATTGGATCAGCATCTATAGGAGCCAAAAAAATTAAAGGAGGGAATTATCAATTATTTGAAAAATTTGCTGAATATTCAGAAGCAAATATTAAATTAAATTCAAAAGTTATAAAAATAACAAAAAGATTGTCAGATACATCATTGAGATATTTGGTTCAAACTGAAGATGGAAATGTTGATGAGTATGATGGAATTATCTTGGCTACTCCAATAGTATGTAATATTTCATTTCTATATATAAAGTCAATAAAAACAGGGGGACCCTAAAATTAGATTTTTGAGAAGATTGAAAAAATACTGCATTTGAAACTTTACAGGAAAAAATCTCAAAACTTTGCTATGTAAAATTGGCATGATATCTAAGCCAAAAATGATTTACATAAAGAGTTAGTAGTGCTAATTCAAAATATTGAGTTTCCCTGTTTTTATTGAAAAACCTCACATATTTTGTTTTTTTCATTTAAAAAATAATTAAATATTATATTCCTACCTATTTAGGAAGTTTCAGGAATAATTTTTGAAAATATTTCTAAAATGCAAGAAATCAAAGAGATTCCATATGTAACACTTCATGTAACATTGGTGGCAGGAAATTTGAATCCAAATTATTTTGGTAAAACATCATTTGATGACTTACCACTACAAATAGTGACAACAAATAGTCCAAAAGTGGAATTCTTATCCTTAACAACTGAAAGAATATTGAGTAATGGTGAAACAGTTAATAAAATTTTCACTCTAGATTATTTATCAGACGAAATTTTATCCAGAATTTATTTAAACACCTCTTGGAATTATAGACAAGTTTGGAAATCATATCCTAAATTGTTACCGAATCAGACTTTTCCACCTATAGAAATTGATGATAATTTCTTTTACATCAATAGTTTTGAACCTTTTATTTCTGTAAGTTTTAAGTTTTTTTTTTTTTTTTGAAGGAAAGCTTAATCAATTGAAATAATGAAATAATAAAATAATAATTCTTTTCTTTTATTTTAGACTATGGAAACTGAAACAGTTTCAAGTAAAAATATTGTCAATATAATAGCAAGTAAGTGGGATGTATTTATTAATAAAACAAATCCTTAACCCTATTTGACAATGATGATGATAGTAAATAGCTATTTTTATAATTAATAAATATAAATATATATAACCAAGAAGTATAATTTAACTAAATTTATTCGCATATTCTTTGAATTATAATCAATTGTCCTTAAAAATGAAACATTTCAGTCACAAAATATTGTAATATTAATAAAATTGATACTTTTAAAACATTTTTGGTAATCCAATATATATATCTTCTGATATAGGATTAATCCGTGGTCTACCTTACTCTTTCTATAAATTTCACAAATTATTGATTATCAGCAAATTGTTCATTTTTGTATAAATTATTTTTAGTTACTTTTTTGCTATAAAAGTGGAAAAAGTTAACAAAAGATTAAACTTATTAAACATAATGACAATAAGGGACAAATTAACAAGTGATGAAGTCATAGAGGTGATTTTATTCTAAATATTTTATTCATTGCCAGTATAGATTGGTCTTGGGCAAGTAATTCATCCTTCACAAATGGATGAATATTATTGTAAAGGTGTTCTTGTCTTTTGTAATTCAAAGGATAAAGATTTAAAATATCAGCTTTCTTAGTTTTCAATAAATCTAATTCAGGATATTCTACATTCCTATTATTGTAAAAAAATTAAGAATGTTTTAATTATATAATATGAATCATCTTTTTTGATTTAAGTATGTTTTGTAAAAAAAATAAGTAGGAAATAAGTATCAACAAATAGGAGATTTTAATAATCACATTACAAAGTTGATCCCTGAAATTTTTGGCAATACCAATGTTCACTTTGTTTGGTTTTGTTGCAAGCATGCCCCATATATAAAATTCTCTAATTCTCTTAATTCTAATAAAAAAAGGATTTTAGTTCGAAATCTTAACTTTAATTATAGCACAAAATTTTTTATATCAACCATGTATTGTTCCTTAGGTATTAGGCCACAAAAGTACATGGTTCAAATTTTTTTTTGATACTAATATAAAAATTTTGTTTTAAAGTCAGGTGACAATTTTGTCGTTTATAATTGAGGTTGATCCTTTCCGAATCCATCCAGATATGCCTTATTTGTAAATAAATTTTTAAATCAAGTGGGTAAATTAAAAAAAGTCAAAGTGGAATAAATTGGTGTCATTATATTATATATTTGGAATTATTATTATGGGATGATTTCTTTATTACAATGTTAGTAATAGATTGTCTTCAAGATATTTTTGAATATTTAAGAAGTGATAACAATGCATTGCATTCTTGTATATTGGTAAACAAAATATGGTGTGAGGCTGCTACTCCAATACTATGGAGCGATCCCTTTAAAACCCTATGTAGTGTAGTATTTTACAACAATGGGGAAAAACCAGCAGTAGAATCTATTGGAGAATGCTATAACAACAATGGTTACAAACCAAAGTACAAAGAGTTTTCTGTCTCACGACAAAGAACTGAAAGTCTACTCAAAGCTTTTCTGTACTGGGCAACCGAACAACAAAAAAACTCATTAAAAAACACAGTATCAAAATTTAAAAAAAAATCAAGGCCAAATTTTCCAAGGACTAGAAATGACACTGATTTTCTTTCTTTGATAAATTCAACATCAACATCAACGTTTGACTATCCTTTTTTCATGCGAACATTAGATCTCAAACGTCTCAGCTCGACTATATCTATTTGGTTAAATGACGTATATGATTCTAGCGAACCTTACTTTGTCAGTTCTGATGATGATTGTGATGATGAAGAACATGAGGAAGATATCGTGTATCTTGAGATACTTCAAATGATCCATCATGTCATTGTAAATAGATGTAAGCATATTACAAAAATTAGGTTTGATCCAATATTTACACAACATGACTATAAATTTCAGTATCTTATGAGCATACCAAAATCCAAACAATGTTTGTCAAGAATAAATGAAATAGAATGTTCATCTGATTTTCCAAAAGAAATATTTACCTCTTTGTCAAAGGTTTGTCAGAATATTGAAATATTTAAAATGACAACGAATTTCAGAGAAAATGTTGGATTAAACGAATTGATCAAAGTTCAAAAATGCATCAAGCACGTAGAGTTATATGGTAAAAGTGATTATAGTGATCTACTTGGAATTTTTCCACATTCTGAAGCTTCTTTCGTATTATATTCTAATGACTTTAACTCTGTCAAATTACACTATCATACAAATATGGTTAACATTTTACCACGTTGTGAAAATTTAAAAGTGTTAAAGCTGGAAATTCATAATAATTTACCCATTTCATTGATCAATCCATTGACAAACTCTTCATTTGTGAATTTAATAAGGCTAGAAATCTATGCAAACGCTTTAAGTTTAGGGCAGCTATCTCAAATTATTGGAAACACAGATGGAAAACTAACTTATGTTTCAATAGATTGTTGGAATTTATCTGATTTGGACAAAGATGGGTTTTTGTTTGAATCAGTTGCAAACTATTGTCCAGATTTACTTTATTTTCATTGTCCAATAAATAGGATAACTCCCTATTTATTGGAAGGAGTCAATAAATTCTGTGAAAATTGTCAAAAACTTCAACATTTTAAATTAGATTCTCCTGATGAACTTGATTTGTCTGAAATTTTAAACATTTTGGGCAAATCTGCTGGTCCTAATGTCACCGAATTTGGTTTTGAGGGTTCATGGATAGCGCCATCTAGCAAAGTTAACTCATTTATTAAATCTCGCAAAAAATTAGATAGACCATTTAAATTAAAGGTCAATGAAGCATTTAATTTTAATCATTTACCTTAATTCTCATTCATTCATTATTTTTATTTTGTAGTTTATAACAATTTATTATTTATTATAAATAAATCTATATATAAAAAATAATATATGTTTTTTTATATAGATTTCAGCCATTATCATCTCTTGTATATATATTAATATCAATATGATTTACTTATTAAACAATTATCATTCGATCAATGCATTTAAAAAAAAACTTGATATATTCGTATACTTGATGATATTATTTTTTAAAGAGTATACAACTAATGTTGAATAATGTTCACAATACAAAATGCTATTATTGTTTTATCTTTATTAAAATATAATATTAGTGTAACGTTTATATGCTAAGAAATAATTATCTTGATATGACATTGTTACACCCTTCCATTGTGATATAAATGAATAATAATTTACAATTTCATTATGACAAGTTCTGTTTAGAAAAAAATTAATTAATTAAAAAATTAATAATAATAATAATAATAATAATAATAATAATAATAATAATGATAATAATAATAATCACCAACTTACCATATACATTTGGTAAATGATCAATAATCATATTTGGTGAAAATCTAATTTCATTAAAGGCCTTTTCAACATCGTTAACTTTAAGTAATTGATTAACATTAATATTTTCCTCTCTTCTACATTCATTGTCACCACCGCTATCAACATTGTTATTATTATCAATAATCCAAAAAACTTGACCTCCTGGATACAATTTTGTATTATTCATATGCTCATAAATTTTTTGACTTGTTTCCCAGAAAAAGTCTTCGCATTCTTCTTTAGAACTGTTGGAAGTGAATCTTGATGATTGATATTTAAGTATTTTTTTAATGATCACACTTACAAATTCTTCATTATCACCATCAATGTTGTTATTTTTTTTACACAAAAATTTAATCATATCACGTAGATCCTTTATATGACCAACACTTAATCTAGTTATGACATCAGTTCTATATGCTACTGACGTTACTAGTGGAATTGCCAGTTTGGATAAATCACCAGACATCACACAAGGCGAGGCAAATGCATAAGCATGAACACGTCGTCCAACAGGGAGACCACTTGATTTTGTTGTTTTACATGTTTTAGGTGATGCAAATAAAAGTGCTAATATACTTGCAATTCCTTTTATCATTTAAATAAAAAATGTTAATGATGATGATGATTATTAATTATATAATAATAATAAAATGATAATTTACCAGCACCAAGTGAATGTCCAACTAATACAAGTCCATAACCTTCATTATTTCTTAATTCTTTTTTAATAGTTTCAAAAACTTTAGATTTTTTAGGTGTTGCCAATTTCTTTGCCACTTTATAAATTCCTTTATGCACTTTATATGTTTTATTGTCATGAGGTAATTGGAAATCTTCATAATCACACGTAAGATCAATGATCAGATCATTTACTGACATTGTGCCTCGGAATGCTAAAATGATTGATGAGGTTGTTCTGTCACGAATTATAAAATAAGTTGGATGATATCCTCCATCATCATTTTTATTATAATGGATATTATGATGTGAAGAATCAATTATTGAATTCAATGGTAGTTTTGTTTGACTAGCAAATGAGAATTTGTACCAATTGCCATGATCTCTTTTATTACGATTGAATGGTAGTTTTGAAAGAAGAGTGTTTTTGAAATCGTAAGCCGATGATGAAAATTTAGAGTATCTTTTCAAATTATGTGCAAGTGTAAATAATTTTTCATCAATTGTTTGACTAGATTTTTCTTCCAAGTAGGGATTATTGTATTTTTTGGCTGTCTCAATAAATAGATTATTTAAATCTTCATTTTCTTGATCCAACATTCCATTGTCAGGAGTGGCAATTTCACCCACCATAATCTCATCGTCATTGATGCTGTTGCTGTTGATGCCACAATTATCAGTACTATTACTATTATTACTACTACTACTACTACTATTACTACTATTACTACTATTACTACTATTATTACAACTATACCGATCACTATTGCTATCACCACCACCATCATCAACATCAACATCACAATCATCAAAATCACAATCATCATTATCATAATTATTATTTATTATAGTCATTTCAATATCATCCTCGTTCTCCAAATGTATCCATTCCACTTCATATAATTTTTCATAAAGATTCAATTTTCTCCAATCTTTATCAATATTACATAAATCTACATGTTTGATTTTCTCGCAACTACCATTGATTTTATTCATCCATCTTTTTCTGGTAATGTGTTGTATAAATGTCCATACAATTAGTGCCTTCATAATACGTAATGTTCTAAATTTTGTAACATTATTATTGTTACCATCATTAGTAGTATCCAAATTATTACTGATGTCACCGCCATCGATATTATTTACAGATCTATCGCTATTGTGAATAGTATCATCACAACTGTTTTCATCAATATCATCAAATCTCCATTCACGTTTAACAAGTGTTACAAATTCTTCAAGTGCTTTAGCTGAATCAGATATACCAAACAAGCTTTCAACAACTGATAAACCATCAGTTGTTGTATCCAAGCTATATTGAATAGTATCCGATGTCAAATCTATCCCAAACAAAGCAATATTCTCAGCAATCGATAATGTTTTGTGTAATATATTTGTTGATGTATCGATTATCATTGGAATAAATGAGTATCTAGCAAAAAAAAAAAAAATGTTTTTACAAGAAATCAAATAATATACACAGACAGACATATATATTTATCTCCTTTTAAAGGCTGTCATTATCCCCAACATTATCATAATTATAAAAAGCTTTTCTTACCCAGTATTATCATTATTTCCATTATTATCAATGTCTCCGTTATTGTTATTAATGGCATTCATTGTAGCTTTATTTATTGAGATTAAACTATCTGATACAGTACCAGTCACCACCTTGGTAATTCCTAGTCCAGTTTGAGTTGTAAGCTTCATTGTATCAAATGTAACTTTGGACACAACACTTGCAAAATCTAGACCTACTTTTGTTACATTAGTAACATTCGAAAATTGAACGGAAAAATTTGAAGGTTGATATGTTTCTTCTACTTTTACTTCTTCATTTTCAATATGCTCTGTAAATGGTTCTTGAATTGTTTCAGGTAGTTTAGAGTAATTTTTTTCTTGCATAGCTTGATTTTTAATTATTTTCAAAAGATATTTTTTTCAAAATCATAATATTTGGTTTCCTCATATTAAACAAAAATTATTTTATAGATCTTTTCTTTTTTTAGACAATCTGTTCATAAGCATGTGATTGCTTGTTTATTAAAGACGTCACCAAACCTCCAAATTAGGAATGCTAAGAATTAAAAAGCTTAGTCTGGGCAATTAATAGTTGAGATCACACGTGGAATGTTTTTATTAATAACTTTGAAACCAATTAACACAGTAAAAGTAGAATGAAAACTTTCCATACAAGAGTTTTTGAACAGCCGATGCAAAAAACCAAGTTATTGTTGTTGATTTGCAAGTTTTGTCTTGATCAGGTCAGGTTTAAAATGATATCGTTACTTGTTAATTTACCAAAAAAGCATATATTATATATTAATATAATGACAATTATTTAAGAAATTCTACAAGTGAAGACAAATCATCAAATCAGAAAAGTTTCAGTTGGATAAAAAGAACTATAAACACCATCCTGAATCATTTTATACAAGTCGTTTGTTAAGTGAATTAATTCGACAAGCTGAATCATCAGAAAATTTAACAAAAAGTTATTACATTAATTTAATGACTAAAAACACGTTTTTGTATGCCAATTCATTTATTTAATCAAAAGGTTATTTAATTTAATATCGTTTATTTCATTATTTTATTATTTTACTATTATTAACTATTTTCAATTAAATACTATGTACTATTTAAAATTGACACCAAAAAAAAAAAAACTTTTATTTTATTTTTTTTTATAGAACTTTCTCAATAATCCATACTTATTTCTTCTCTAGAAACATGAAATTTTCCATTTGTAATCAAATCATACCCAGTGTCCAAGTTAAAATTATTTGAATTTCCTTTGTTCACCACAGAAAATTTTGCTATTTTAGAAAATTTATACTAAATCGATAAAATGATGGTTTATTTTATTAAATAAAAAACAATTAAAGAACTTAATGATACTATGCATAAGTAAGTGTTATTAGAGGGTAGTTGTTTTTTATGAGCTATTCTAGTTGAACTAAAAATCATGTTTATCATTTTTGTATCCCCTTAATGAATTAATTAATCACTAACAAATGTCAACTGCAAAAGATCAAATGAATTTAGTAGAATTCTCTATATGACATTGATGTGATCGGTCACGTTTACTTCGTCGAAAATTCATTTGTCGAAAGTTTGTTTCGTCGAAAGTTCATTTCGTCGAAAATTATTTCTTCGACAGTTCATTTCGTCGGCTTATGTATCGTACTAATGATAGATGAGGTGATGATAGTGATGGCAACAATATCGACATTGAATATTTTAGTATTGATAATAATTATTGCTTTTTAGTAGAGTGTGTGGATCAGACAAATTGGTAATATTCCTTTAAATTTGAGTCATTCGTATATTTGCAAACTAATTAGCACTCTGATTTTACCTGAATTTTTCTTTCTTAATTACAATCATACAAATGCAAATTATACTA